TGAGATATCATCTCACCCCAGCAATAATAGCAAAGTTCAACAGGTCAGAAAATAACAAATGCTGGCAAGGTTGCGGAGAGATTGGAACTCTTGTGGACTCCTGCTGGGATTGTAAAATGGTACAACCATTGTGGCAAATGGTAGGGTGTTTCCTTAAAAAACTGAAGATAGAAATACCATTTGACCCAGCAATTCCATTACTAGGAATATATTCGGAAGAGGTGAGAGACAGCCCATGAACAGACGTATGTATACCTATGTTTATGCAGCACAATTCACTATTGCAAAGACATGGAAACAACTTAAATGCCCATCAACGGATGAGTGGATAACCAAATTATGGTACATGCACACAATGGAATATATGCTACGTTAAAGAACAATGAGGGATACACAAATTATCTCGCAACGTGAATGAACCTGGAGGACATTATGTTGAGTGAAATAAATCAATTGCAGAAAGATAAGTACGGTATGAGCCCATTACTGTAAAAAGACAAAGAAGGGTTTCTTTGGGAAAGGGAACTCACTTTGTAGGTTACTGTGATGAGGAGGGAAAGGGAGGGATTAATTTAAGGCTAGTTGGGGCCCACATGCTGCTGTGGGTAAGAGGAAGGTACAGAAAGGGTCTGTGACCACCATGATAACATTAGGAAATGGGAGGACAGCAAATTGTGCACTTAAGAAATAGATGACAGATGATAATACCAACCAATGTTTCCACAATACTGCATTACGATTAGCACACAACACCAGTCTACAGATAAACAAATAAACACCTGAGAGGATTAGATGGGGGTCAGTGAACAGGAGTATACTCTAGACTAAGGATAGTTTCAGCTGAGGCTAATCTTGCACTGACACCAGTGATACAAAATACCTGAAATCCTTACAGAAATGATAGAAGACAGACACAGTAATCATTCACAGACACCGAGACACTATGGGAGAGAGATCCAATAGATCTGTCATCTCAGGACCATAGTACTGGGTACACCAGACTCAACTGGTATAACAAAATACATAAAAGCCTTGTTCCACATCCTACATTGATAAGTAGCAACTGGGGTCTTAAAAGCTTTCAAACAGCCATCTAAGTTGCAGCTAATGGTCTCCTAGTGTCAGAAGCAAAGAAGAATGCAAAGAAAACAAGGGCATTTGGAAGCAATCAGTCATAGGACATGATGGCCCTTGAGACCAGAACTAGATGGTGCCTGGCTACCAATGCCAACCACTCAGGAAAGAATCAAATCTGGAGATCCTGGATAGAGTGGGAAGAAAAACATGGAACAAAATCCAAAAACTCAATAATGACCAGAATTATTGGTCAGATGAAGTCTGATGAGACCCCCAATACTGTGGCCCTGGAATGCATTCTGTGCCTGGAGTAAAACTTGTCCTAGGGGCTGGCTCTCAGCCCAATAGTTAACAAGATGTACATGTAGACCACTCAACCCAGAAGGACGGACCCACATACTCTATGGTAATACATCTGTGACAGTAATAGAACACGGGGCACCAGAGGACCAACATTCAAATTGAGGAAATGCAGGACAAACAGGAATGCATAAATATGAGGGGCACAGGGGGAGGATTACTGAGTAGGGAGGGGAGGAGACTGGGTTAGGGTTTGACATGGTAAATGGGGAGTGAAACTAAATGTACACATAACATTGACTATAAAACAAGCTCTTAAAAATATTGAATGATTCTCAAAGGTAAATCTGCTATCTTTTTGGACTTGCCAATAAATTCTATATGGGGACTAGTAGAATGACAAGTGTAACAGTCATTTCATAGATCTATAGGAAAAAAAAATCAGAAAAGAGGGAATTTATGAAGAGCAACTAAACTGTAATAGAATAGGTACACAGGAAAAGAGATGAGGACAAAAATGGAATAATACACTATGGGAAATTTGGCCAATGTAAATCAGATTCACCTTAGGGTTTTCCCTTGTTTCAAGTTTCATCTCCCCTGCTATACCTCAAGCACTTGCTTAGAAAAAATTTCTTAACACCTTTTTTGCCCTATAATTTTCATTCTCAACTACAACTATTAAAAATTCATTATGTCCTAATTGTCTTTTGAAGGGTGATCCACTCAACAACGAATTAGTATGACAAAGACATGGGATTTATGCATTGTTTTTTTTTCTTCACTTCTCCCTATTAATATGACCAGGATTTATGAAGAGTGGAAAACTGTATTATATAGGCATGGGCTTAAAATATGACATCAGAGCTGTCAATAGACATAATTTCTATCCATTTAGGTTTCTATCTGTAAGATTTTTACATATAGATTTCTAGTTCCTTTTGAATTATTAGACATTTTGCTAAAAATTTAACTGTTTATTTTTTTTTACAGAGAAATTGTGATACAAGTTGTTCCAGAGATCAATTTCAGTGTTCCAATGGTCAGTGTATATCAGCAAAATGGAAATGTGATGGTCATGAAGACTGCAAATATGGTGATGATGAGAAAAACTGTGATCCGGGTAAGATGACTGATATGATATTTAACTTAGCTGATATTTTACCTTGAAAGAATTTAAACAATGACATGCAGAAATTAGTGGCAAATGCATGTACATATATATGTTTTGAAGAAATAATACCAGATATTAATGAAAGGTGAGAAAGCTACGTGTAAGGATGTAAGCAATAGTCCCTAAACTTCAATTTTCCTCTTTCTGTATATTTTCTGACCATTTGGAATTATTTTTTCCAAGAGAGAAAATTACAATATTTTCAAGCTACAGATACTGTAAAGTCAAGTTTTAGAAATTAAGAAATTAAGCTTATGAAGCAGAAATGTAGTAGTTTCAATGTGCTACCAAATGAGAACAAGCGTTAGTGTATTGCTTCTGTTTACATCTTGGGCCAAAATCAAATTAAAATTAGGAAGAAAACCAGAATATTAAAAAAGACACTACTGCGTGTGTTTTTATTCCTTCATATTGTTGTTATTGTTTTGTGCCATTGAGTTGATACTGACTCATAGCAGAACAATGGTTAATGTGCTTGCCTTCTAACCACAAGGTCATAGGTTTGAATTCAACAGTCTCCCTCAGCAGAAAAAACCTGATGATCTGCTCCCATAAAGATGACCGCCAAGGAAACCCAAAGGGGGCACTTCTACTCTGCCTATAGGATTGCTAAGATATGAATCTATTTTGTGTGGTTCTACAAATATGCTCATTAAAACACCTAATTTTTATGCCTATGTATTTTAATAAAATTATCATATAGAAAAAATGTTGGGGGGAAATCATGGTGTAATCTATATAAAACAAGAATGCATTAGTGTAAGGGATTAGGTCAAAAGTAGCACACATACTGCTCACAAGTTGCTATGGCTCGCTATAATGCCACTGTACATTGCTCATTCATCATAGCTTTCTTTCTTACTGAATCCAGACATGCTCTCAGGCTTCTTATCAATACATATCTGTAGGCAAGACTACCAATTAAAAATAACTAAAACTCAAGGAAAAAAGCTTTTCAGCATTTCTCTATTAAGCAATTCAGAATACATCTGGCTACCTGATGGTCTGACATAAAGCCCAGACCCTCAGAGGTTTGAATCAAAGCCTAGCAAACTGAAACCTGTACCCATTCCCAAAGAGGTCTGCCATAATTCCTATGTCAATTAATTAGGCCGGGTGATGGCCATAACTTATTTATCTTCTTGTTATTTTAAATTTCTGTATCACAAAATATGCTAAAAATTATATAGACTCTGATAATTATACATATATTTATGTTTAGAATTCTAATGCAAAAAATTTATTGAAACATATATAAATACAACATTAATGTCTTCATAGCCAAATAGATCTGCCTGGGTTCATAAAACCATGCCAAGATTTCAGTTTTAGCTTTATGCAATGCATTTGTGGTCTAACATTCCCAAAAATCACTAAATCCTATTGTAATTTAAAAAATAATGTGGAACTTTTGTGTTTTAAAATAATTTACTTTAAGATTATGAAAAACAATCATTTAATCTTCAAAATCTAAGAGAAGAAGGATTGAGTTTTGTTTTTTCTTTAATCCTGTGTGTTGAATTCTTACTGCACAGGTGATAGTAACATTGAAGTATATTTAATTCAATGCAATAATGTTGTAAGGCACAATTTAAATGAATGTTTAACCAAATATTGAATATGGTTTAAATAATATAGAACATTCTCATTGCAATGTATGAGTTCATATTTTTATATGCTTATATATGTTTTTATCCTTCAAACTCATAATTGTTTTTACTGTATATAAATCACAAATTTGTAATTGTATTCAGCTTCACCTACTTGCTCATCAAGTGAATATATATGTGCCAGCGGAGGATGTATTTCAGCATCTCTGAAATGTAATGGAGAATACGATTGTGCTGATGGTTCAGATGAGGTAAAAGCTCCCATTCAAGTAAAATCTTTGAATTATGTGAATTAGGTTTGGTAAAGCTTAACTCACAAAAATAGAACAAAGAGACTGGATCTTGATTCTTAGCAGCATCTAAAATTTGGACAGATAAATTTAACACGATCATTTCAGCAAGTACCTGCATCTTCATGTTGTCCATATATTAAACCTTATTGCCATTTGTAAAGGTTATATTCATTAAACTAAGATAAAAGAAAGTCCACAGTGTAATAAATTTTCAGTAGTGTCAGCTGATTTTTTTTTTTATGTCCTATGACTTTATCATTATCATTAATGAAAACTGCAGTGCCCATTTGTATTTGAACAGATGGACTGTGTGACTGAATGCAAGGAAGATCAGTTTCGATGCAAAAATAAAGCCCACTGTATTCCAATTAGATGGCTGTGTGATGGAATTCATGACTGTGTGGATGGTAGTGATGAAGAGAACTGTGACAAAGGTAAAGTTCTTTTCATTTTTGTGACTTTAAATGAGAGAACAGAATTTCAGGAGCTGAGCAGAATACAAAGTGTGCTAAAGCCAGAGATTGGGTCATTAAATGAGTCTCTACTATTTCTAGTTTCATTATGTGTCAGTTGGTTCAAAATCAAGATCATTATCAGATAAAGATTATTTCCTCTTCCCTTGACAAGGCAACCAAAATATAAATGATTACTGAGTATCTACTATGAGTGTGTCATCCCATCAGATGCTTGGGTAAGGAATAGCACATGTGAAGAATTCAGATAATTTAGCCATTATAACCATTAGAATAAATATTTTCTGTGTCATTTCTCATCCACATTACTTGAAATTACTTTGAAAGAATAGGAACAACATATGTTTTACTATATTGTACACACTCATATGGTATATGATCTATAGGTTATAGGTTGTGTCTCAAATTTCTTTCTTCCCATATGACAGATAAAATTATATATATATATGTGTGTGTGTGTGTATATATATATATATATATATATATATATATATATATATATATATATATATATATATATATGGAACATCAACAGAGGTGATGCTAGGTATTTCCACATTTGTACATTTGTACATACAGAATTTTTACAGTTTAAATATCTAAAATAATTACTTCTCTAAACATCTAGTCGCTATAGTTAAATATGTTCTAGTTTATTTAACATTAGGTCTTAATAGTGTGGTTACATAATATCTCTATCACAAACCAGAAAAAAAAATGTTGTGATTTATATTCACCAGGGGTGGAGGTTATCATTCTAACTTAGAATTTGTGGCTTATTCTAAATCCCCAAATCCAAACCCACTGCTGTCAAATTGATTCGAACCCATAGCCACTCTATATAACAGAGTAGAACAGACCCATAGGATTTCCAAAACTCTAATCTTTATAGAAACAGACTGGTACATCATTCACTTGCAGACTGGCTGGTGTGTTCCAGCTGACAAACTTTCAGTCAGCAGCTGAGCACTTAACCACTGCACCACAAGGCCTCTGGGGAGGTTGGGTATTATTTATTGTTATTATGTGCCATCGAGTCAGAACCGACTCATAGTGACCCCTCCTTGGGTTTCCAAGGAAGTATTACTACTGAAGTAGATTACCCCATCTTCCTTCCAATGGCTGGTGGATTTGATTCACCAGTCTTCTGATTAGCAGTCAAGTGCCTTAGCCACTAAGGTATTATAGAGGGCCATATAAGTTAAATGATCATAATAGCTTTTCTACTTTTGGTTAAGTTCTCACACTCACTTTCTGTAACTGGTCATTCTGAACCAGAGAATTTTGGGTTTACTACTGGAGCAAAAACTCTTCTGTGGGTTCTTATATTCAAAGAAGGAGTTCTAGTTTAGACTAAGACCTAGTTTCTTAATCTGTCTTGAAACTTTCTGTGCTCGTTTGCTCCTGTTATCAAATCCAATCACAGTGAAATATCTCACAAAGCTGTAGTGGTGTGTGGAAATTCCGTGTAGGAAGGGATAATTCTGTAGGATTTATCATTCTTAATATTAGCTTTCATACAGAATTATTTGAACAAAGGATTCCATGTTAAAAAGCTGAACATTACAGTAAAAAAAAATGAGCATTACAGTATTTGAAACATGAGTTATCTGTCAGATTTAAGATGATTCTACTAAGTGTTTAAGTGTAATAACTAAGAAAAAGTCAAGTGTCTTTAATTCAATCATTTACAAATGTGTCATTCCCTCCTCTTTTCTTCCTCCATATAACTGCTGTTTTTCAGTTTATTTGCAGCTAGGTAAATATGTTTCATTGGATTTCTTGGTGGTTAATGTATTTGATCCTGTATGGATATCCCTTAAGGCATAACCAAGCTCATATTTTTAATATTTAGTTTGTTGTTGTTGTTATGTGCTGTCGCGTCGGCCCCGACTCATAGCGACCCCTCCTTGGGTTTCCGAGGCAGTATCACTACGGAAGTAGGATTGCCCAACCTTCCTTCCGAGGAGTGGCTGGTGGGTTTGAACCGCCAGCCTTCTGGTTAGCAGTCAAGTGCTTTAGCCACTATGCTACCAGAGCTCCTAATATTTAGTTTACTCCCAGGAAAAAGATTTGAAACATATGCTTGAAGGCTTTGAAAAAATGGAATGTCAAATGAAACATCTGTACTGTCCCACTTCTATTCCTCTCAAAGCTAGACACTTGAGCTACCAGGTTGTGGGCTAGAAGTAAAGGAGCTCCAGAATAAGCATGGCATATTTTCCCAGTGAATTGATTTTACTAGTTTTCCTTTTAAACACTAATACCCAAAATACTATGGAGTAAAGCAGCATTTATCATTTTAAAGGTAAAACATAGATCAAAAAGAAACTCAGTACTTATTTTGGTCTAAGCTCACAAACTTTTATTCTTTATGACAATGTTAGTGGAAAATATTGTGAGGTTTTATTTTTAGAAATAATCAGCTAAAAAAATATGTAAACCATTCATAAAAATCATAAACTATTTTTGTATTTTAAAACATCTCTTAACCTACATTACAATGGGAACTCTAGAGGCTTATTCTCTGTGATGATGCACTTGTCCAGATTTCTAAGAATCTGCCCGAGGCTCAGTTATAATTTAGACATAAATTATTGTTAATAAATCCTTTTCAGTTCTTCTATACTTTTCCATTGTGCTGATTAAGAACATGACCAGAAAACTGGGAAATTTAATCCAGCCCATCTATTTAAATTATATATTTTTGTTGTTATTTTTACATTTAAAGAATTTTGCAAGTCTAAATTTTTGTTCTTAAAATATAACAAAATTAAATTGGTTTCATTATATGTGCATTTACATGCATTTTCAAAATAAAGCATTTTAAGTTAGACTAAGGTATGGCATGATAGCCCTATGATGATTTTTTGAAATGCAAGTTCTTTATAGCACATTAGGAAATCTTTAGCAGTTATCAGAGTTTGCCTTTCTGTTAAAATTATGATTTCATTTATATTTCTCTTTTGCTTAATAAAAACAGTGGAATGTTCAACACTATTAGAAAAATTACAATGTTTCCTAATGCAATATCTTGGAGTATTCATTTTTCCCTTTTAACAGGACAGATATGCTACAACTAGAGTTTTCTAAAATAATCAGAGGATGCCAACCAAAACCAAAACTACTGCCATTGAGTTGATTCTGACTCATAATGACCCTACAGAACAGAGTAGAAATCCCTTATTGGGTTTCCAATGCTGTAAATCTCTATAGAAGCAGACTGCCTCATTTTAATTTCAAGGAGTGGCTAGTGGGTTCAATCCACTGAGTTTTTGGTTAGCAGCCAAATACCCTAACCACTTCACCACAGAACTCTTTAAAAGATGCCAGGAGTTCATACATTCTGTTTGAATTTAATCCATTGTGAAATGCAACATGCAATGAGATTTCTTCATTTCAATTTTTATTCTGAATGACTACAACTATACTTCATATTCCGTGCCCTTTGATTTTGAATTAAGCCAACACTTACCATACACTGTTATTCATATCTTTAGTTCCTTTATTATTAAATATTTTATACATATTCTTATTTTTACTATTTTCAGAAAGAGTTGTTAAATGGTTATTGCATATGTTTTGGTAAATCATATTTTTTTTAGAATTATGGTATTTTAGAGCTTTATGGCATTTTAGAGCTCAGGATTGCAGAGGTCTGGAAGAAAGAGACCCCCAATGTCTATCAGAAGCCTCACATAGTGATATTCACCATGGTGGACTTACCAAGGAGCTGATCTGCTCTGTACCTTATAGTAATTGATATTCATATATGCCATTCAACATGCATCAGTTCCATTAAGATTTTTGCAGAAAATGTTACAACTGTTCAGGTTATAATTATCAATTCTTGGTCACAGACTTCAATTATTAATAAAATACTCTAAGCTATCTATTCAATTTTCCCTAATCATCTCTCTTCACCATTAGTCATACCAGGTGTTTTAAAAGTTACTTTCTTCTTCTACTCTATCACTAAGCCACCTCTATCTTTGTCTCTCTTAGTTAATGACCTTATGTCTAAGTTATAACAGAGAGCCACAAAAGGCTCATAATGGTAAGGATTGTTGTTATGTGCCATTGAGTCGCCCCGACTCATAGTGACCCCTGCTTATGTATCACTATGGAAGTAGATTGCCCAACCTTCCTTCTGAGGAGTGGCTGGTGGGTTTGAACCACCAGCCTAATGGTTAGCAGTCAAGTGCCTAAGGCACTATGCTACCAGAGATCCTATAGTAAGGATTGTTGTTGTTGTTATGTACGTCGAGTCGCTCTTGACTCATAGTGACCCCTCCTTGGGTTTCTGAGGCAGTATCACTATGGAAGTAGATTGCCCCATCTTCCTTCCGAGGAGTGGCTGGTGGATTTGAACCATCAGCCTTCTGGTTAGCAGTCAAGTGCCTTAGGCACTATGCTACCAGAGCTCCCATAGTAAGGATTAGAGAGGCCTAATCTACTTCCGTAGTGATACTGCCTCAGAAACCCAAGGAGGGGTCACTATGAGTCAGGTCTGACAGTATGGCACATAACAACAACAACAACAAAAACTGCACCAGGGACATGCTCAGAGTTTTATTCCAAAGAGCGGGGGAGGGGGTAACCAGAAAAGCAATGTCACATCCAGATGCATGATGGTCAGTTTCTGGGTCCACTAAAACCTTTCCTCTTTCCAGAGATACTTATACCTCTGTTTGAGGACCTATCAAATAGGGGCGATGCGCCTAGTGTGAGGCTTAGTGGTACCTGATGCTGGTAGGGGACCTGGAGCCAGGTCTGGTGATATGTGCCCTTGAGAAGATGCAGCTATTAACTGAGGAACATGCCCCATGAGGAGAAAAGGGAGGGGGCAGGATGACTTTGCATTATTGTGCACTTGGCTAGACAAGATGGGATGGGGTCTGGGAGCCATTTTTGGGAGCTACAGCTATGCCTGGTATATGCCATCCCAATGTCCCAACATT